GACTTTGGCACAGGCCATTTCACCATAGCTTCAATTTTTGCTGGATCAGTGGTCACTCCCTCCTGGTTGATGACATAGCCTAGATAATCGATCTGAGTTTGACCAAAAGCACACTCGGAGGGTTTGGCAAACAGGGAATTTGCCCTCAGAATGGATAAGGCAGCTGCCAAGTGGTCTTTGTGGCTGTCCTGATCAGGACTGTAGATTAGGATGTCATCAAAGAAAACCAATATGAATTTTCAAAGATAAGGACTGAAGATCTTGTTCATAAGAGCCTGGAATGTTGCAGGGGCATTTGTCAACCAAAATGGCATGACTGTAAACTCATAGAGGCCTTGATGAGTTCTAAATGCTGTTTTATGTTGATCCTCAGGGCTCATTCTAATTTGGTGATAACCAGATAGCAAATCAAGCTTGGTGAAAAATTTAGAACCCCTTAACTCGTCCAACAGATCATCAATAACAGGGATTGAAAACTTATCTTTGATGGTGAGGTCATTCAGCTTGCGATAGTCCACACAAAACCTCCACGTTCCATCTTTTTTTAGCACCAGCAATACTGGAGAAGCATAAGGGCTTCTACTAGGCCAAATATAACGAGATTCCAACATTTCCTTAACCAGTCTATCCATCTCATCCTTCTGTGGTATAGAATAACGATAAGGCCTGAGATTTACCGGTTGTGCATTTGGTTGCAATGGTATGGTGTGATCACAGTCTCGGGCAGGAGGCAATCCTTGAGGTTTCCCAAATACATCACTGTACTCCTGAAGGACTGGTTGCAGGAAATCAGGAGGCTGACTCTTCAATGTATTAATCTCCTGTAAACTGGCTACATTTTCCACAACCTGTAGGCTACAAATTTGCCCCATGAAGGCAATCTCTGATTTATCCCATAGCTTCTGCAGACTTTTCCCTGAAATCAGCTTGCATTGAGCCATATCTTGAATTCCAGACAATATCACTTCCTTACCTTGCCATTCAAAGAACAGCTGCAATCCAATGAAATCGAACTTGACAGGGCTGATGGTCTTCAACCAATCTAGTCCTAACACCATATCATTAGAACCCAGACTCAGAATCCTCATATCATACTGGAACTTGTGGCCTTGCATATCCCAACTAAATGCTTTGCATACCAGATGGCTGAGCAACACTGTACCATCTGCAAGTTTGACCCTTAAAGGGTTGCTGGCTGGTTCAAGCTGACACTGTAATTCCCTAGCTTTCTTATCACTGAGGAAGGTGTGAGTACTACCTGTATCCACCAGAATGTAAATTTTTTCTCTTTTAACCTTCCCTTGCACTATTAGAGAATTCGCTAATCCCCCACTGTTGAGTGCTTGCATCGTTACCTCTTCCAATTCAGCAGGGTCAATCTCCACACTTGGTTCACCCAATTCTTCCTCATCATTAGAGTGCCACGAATCCTGTACGTCCTCATCGTTCTCAGCCTGCAAAACATTAAGTTGCTTCTTTGCATCACACACGTGGCCGAAAAAATATCTATCACCACACTTATAGCAAACACCCCTAGTGCCATTGTTCTTCTGAGCCAACATTGGGGCTTTAGTAACAGTTGTAGGCTTGTGTGCTGTATTGTTCTCCCATCGACGGTTCTGTGTGGTATTGGAGCTAGTCGACGCCCCCATAGGTCGGTGAAGCACACCCTGACTATTGCGCCACTTCCTCTGGCGAGCTAGATTCGAAGCTTCCTCCAGTTGAGCAAACTGGAAAGCATCCGCAAGAGTTTGCGGCTTCCACATCTGCAAAACAGGACGTAGTTCCTCTTCTAATCCACTAATGAAACTGCTGATGAAGTAAATTTCGTCCAATACAGGGTTGAAACGAGACATCAATGAACGAAGCTCCTCGAACTTCTCCTGGTAATCCGCCAAGGATCCTCGCTGTCGAAGCTTATTGAACTCAGCTACAACTCCCCCATAAGTGCGATTACCGAATCTCTGGCATATAGCTGTAACCAATTCCTCCCAAACTAACTAACGACGTCCAATCTTCCATCCTTCGAACCACAAATCAACTCGGCGCTGAAAGTATATCACTGCCAAATTCACCTTATGATCGTTGGGAATGCCATAAATCTCAAACAATTTCTCGCATTTCCGCGTCCATTCCCGAGGATCATCACCATTAAAAGACGGAAAATCGAGACGGGGAAGCTGATTGAAGTGATGAATACCTGGGCCTGGAACTGGATTCACTTGATTCTGTTCCCGCTCATCCACTTGATTGACCGGAGCATGAACCCTAGGTGCCTGTAGCAGTACAGGATCAACTCCCCTGAAACCGTTGGTAGGTAATGGAAGAATGCCTCGGGCGCCATTCCGGTCTACCGGCGGAATTCCCGCACCGGCAACAACCCCCGCTGGCCTCGGATTCACCGCCGCCTGAAGCATCTGGCGGATCTCGTGTGTAAATTGGCCGAAACGATCATCGAATCTGGCTTCCAAATTGTCAAATCTCGTCGTCAAGGTAACAAATTGTTGAGAATGGCCCTCCGAACGAGTCTTGATCTCCTGGAGCTGAGCCGCTTGCGAATCTACCATGCTCTGGACGGTGTCTAGCTTATCATCGAGAGCTCCCTGCGCCTGATTCGTGGACGCCATTAAATTGGTGAGACGTTCATCAATGGTGCCGCGTGTGTTCGTCATGGAAGACATAGAGCCAAGACAGAGCTCTGATACCAACTTGTCACCCCTGGAAGGTCACTTGTCCTAGCGATGCTGAGAATTGGAAGAAGAAGAAGAGTTGCAGAAGAGAGGAAGAAGAGACGAGGCAGAGAAGAGAGAGAGAGAGATAGAGAGGGAAAGTAAAGTTGTTATTATGCTCAAAAGTGGTTACAATGGTCTTCCCGGGTCCTATTTATACAGAATGTACAATCATCAAATCAGTCACTCAACTTCTATAACTATCTTCTTCAGCCCGTTGGTTACAATCGTCTCTCCTCGTTCGTTCAGCCGACGTTTCTCTGTCGCAGTTGTCTACGTTTTGCTCGTCGAGTTTCTCCTTGTCATCGAGTTCCCTAATAACGACGTCGCTCCGGCTTCCGTCATAACTCCCGTCCTTTCCCCTCTGTCGTTGGCCCGCTACGTCTATCTCTTGCCTGAGTTCCCTCAACAGCAAGTGTATTGATTCTGTCAACATCGGCTTCATTCTAGCTTTCGCCGTCGTTCCCGTCCGATGTCGCTTCCTTCCAGCGTCAACCCCATCTTGATTTTCCCCGCATTATCCCTTTTCGCTTCTTTTTAACTTTGCATATTTTTTACTTGGATTGTTAAGTTATCAATGTGTAATTATTAATGTTGGCAATTCTCATTCTATAATTTTTTCGCATTATTTCATAACTATTGCTAATCTGACTATATTATTAACGATGTTGGTCTCTATTTTTAACAATTTTGTACTGTCATTAATATTTCCTGCATTATCATTGTCGTTCGCTGTCAATATTTATTGATTTCGGTGTCATTATTATCCTTATAGCTTTGTTGATAACTTTGAATCTTTTTTGCTTGCATTGTTAAGTTATCAATGTGTAATTTTTAATGTTTGCAATTCCCATTTTTAATTTTTTCCGCATTATTAATATTCATCCACCATAATCAACAATTCCCTCTTCCACTCGTTTTATGGTGGTTTTTCGCTTTGATGCAATCATTATCAACAAATTTACTTATATTTTCAACTTCAACAAAGCTTAGTTATTAATGATTAAATTGTCATTATCAACATTTCGATGTAAAATCTTATAATATTAAGCATTGATTAGCATATACAACCATTAATAATGATAGGTATATCATTAATAATTCATTACATAAACGTTCCAATTGTAATTGAAAGTCGTTGTAAGAGGCCATGATTGGCTAGTTATTCAAATAATTAATGATGATATTACATAACTATAATAATTATTTCATAAGTGTTGATGATGAAAATGTAAATAGTTAACAAATCGATAAAAAAATATTAACAATTTTAAAGCATTGATATGTTTTGTGCAATTCCATAAAAAAATTATTTTTGTTTCCAACGAAATACAACATTGTTTTAAACATTTTTGTACTTATTTTCAATGAAATATCTCGTTATTGAATATTGGATCATAGGTGCACTATGTCATAAGTATAGAAGATGTCAAAAATAAACATTGTACTTTTTGATCACTGAGAACGATAATGTAAAGCGTAAAGTGATATCAATTGATCGCAAAAATTTAACAATATCATTAGAAGTCATTGTAAGAGGTCATGACGTGGAGATTTGTCATGGAAATTTGAATTTTTAATAAATATATTATAAGTTAATGATAACAATGGTTTAATCATTAATAATGATGTGGTACAAAGTTAATAATTTCATCATAAATGTTGGCGAAGAAAATGTAAATCGGTCAGAATTGATTCAAATTGTTAAAAATGTAATCGTAAAACATTGATAGGCTTATTGAAATAGTTAATAATAATAGTCATATTATTAACTATTTATTTCATAAGCGTTAATAATACCAGTGAAAACATTAATAATGCTATTGCAAGTCCCTACAAAGAGATTAGATATTTTATCTTTTGAAATTTCATTTTTCAAATATTAAATATCAATTTCGGATTTCTATTTTTGATTTGTAATATTTGTATTAATTAGTTGTCGAATTTAAAAGGGGAAGTTGGTTTTCCTTTTTTAACCTACTGATTTTAACTATTAATGACATTAAATATGTTTTTATTCCTTCCGTGCCCTTTTGGATAGTTAATCAATTATTGTTATTGCTTACCTCTCTCCTCCTATTGGCTAGAATGGATTTAAGATCCTCCTTAAAAATTGGGGGTTTAAGGACCTTATCCAACCCGCATCAGGGCTGGCTGCAGTCATATTTATGATTTTTTTTTATAATTTTTAACTGTTCTTGAAACGTTGTGTAATACCCGTACACTAATCCTTTGCAAAGTACCCAAACTACCCTCCGCTTAAATTAAACACAAGGTAATTAGTCTTGTAAAAGAAAGCTACAGGTGAGGAATTTATTTGATGTATGGATGAATGGGAGGTGGAACAAGAGGAAAAGACCCCATTCTTCTCTTCTGTCAACCGACACCATTGATTCCTTCCCATCACCCCTCTCTTATCTTCTGCAGGCAAATCATGTGATCCCATTTATTTTCCCTCTTCCTCCCTTCCATGAAGTTAAGAAACCATTTCCTCTCCCCAAATGTGCTCCATTACCACCGCCATCCATCTGCCTCTCGCATCCGGAAACCCCCATTTCTCCTTGTTCAAATCAAACACCACCAGAAGCTAAAGCTCTTTTACCTCCATGCCAAATCATCATCGTTGCCACTGCTAGCAGGAGGAGGCTGAGGACAACAATAACACGTACTCATCCATCTCGTCATCATCATCTCGCCACATCACCGGCCACACCACCGTTCATTGTCGTTACCAGAGAAGGATCACCTAACGTACGAGCGCTGGTTTCCTTCGTATCTTCCACTCTCTCGTGAGAACAGTAGGTAAGAGTGATAGATCCCCGACCCTTTCCAATATTAGAAGCTATAAATTAGCTAACCATGGTCGTTTTCTGTCGTAGCCTCGACGACAAACGTACCGGGTTATCAAACGACTAATAAACCAAGAAACAACGACCCTCATGACTCAAATCAAGGTCTAGGCACGAATAAGAAGTAAGGAATCCCGATCCCTTGTGTTGGAATCTATATTTACTTGAGTTCCACGAGTTTGTAGAAATCTGGGATTTAGCGACGGATGTTCAGTCTTTTAGTAACGGTTTTGTCCGTCGCGGAAGGTCTGCCCAACTAGAAGCAGATGTAGTCCTTTTGGGATGGCCAGTGTTGACCTTTGGTCACGACTTCCGTGACTGTTACTAATGGAGCTGTAGCTTTTAAGATTTAAATGTCCAGGTTAATGAATGAATTAATTTGGAATTGAATTAATAAGTATGTATGGATTAGGAGATTAATAACATAGATAGTAATTAGTAAAATGATTTAGTATGAAATAGTGATTTAGTTGATCTAGTAAGATGATTATTAGTGTTGTCAAGAGGTTCTTTAAGCAAGTTAACCGGTTAAGGTAATTTAAGTTGTTAGCTAGCAAATATTGGCTTTCCCGGGAATCATATTATGAGTCTATGACAAATTAAACTAGAAGACAATATAATATTTGATATGGTTAGTAAGTAAAATTTATTATTGGCAGTTATGGGTAAATCTACTAGTTTATTTAGTATGGTAATATATGTTATAATATGCTAGGTAAAAGTGATTTTAGCATGATTAGTTCCAAGTATTTAAATTGGCATAGATTTTAAGGAGTGGAGGTTTTAGATGATAAATTATTAAATACGTCAATTAGCCGTACTTTGCAATTATTGCGAAGTAGTTCCAAGTCGAGGGAACCGTCGCTAAGTATCCGAAACCCAGTCGATCTAACCTCAGTATTCGCCATAGGTCGACAAGGCGAATCATCTTCTCTAGAGCATCGATCCTTGGAGTTGGTAGCCAGATCAAGTTTAACCGCTCGACCAAATAAGGTGTGTGGTTTGAGGGGACTAGTTAGTATTCCATTCTGAATTATGTATGATGCATGTTACTTGGATTAAATGATTTGCTCTTATGTGCTATCGGTGTTTAAGTTTATGCATTTACTTTATTCATGTTCAAGTTATGATTTGTGATTATTATGCACGTTCAGCATACAGAGCATCATATTCATCAAAGATCAAGCTGAACCCAAGTTGCTAAGTTAAGCAAGTTATTAAGTTGGATCTTCCCATTGTGTGGGAGATCACCAAGTTCTTCAAGTATGTAAGCAAGTACGACTTAATTATATTTCTCCTTGGGTGAGAGATTAATTAAGGAAAGCATGTATAAGTCAACAAGTTAATAAGTAAGAACAAGTTAACCTCGCTTAGCTAGCCACTTTTCACTATGGATCACTACTGGATGGCGATACGTAACGCAGTAGTTGATCAGGCATGGAACTGGACTGCGATACGTAACGCAGTTTCCATTGCCCATGTTTAGGTATGCAACCGGACGGCGATACGTAACGCGGTTGGCATACCTCAGTTTTGACACCGGACAGCGATACGTAACGCGGTGGTCATAACTCATGTTAAGCAGGCAGTGGCGCCAGTTAAGCCGAGGTAGGGGCCCCGTCCTAAGATAAAATATGCAAGATACCTAGAAAGTGAACAAGAATTACAAGTTCAAGAACTCCTAATAATGTACTCCCGATAATGTACTAAGTCATTGCATCGCATTTGCACCCATATGCATGTTGCTTGATTTTATATTATTATGTAAAGAATGGAATATAGGATTAGGACTGACCCCAACGCCCGCATTCAGGAACTGCAATCAAGTAGGAGTATTCGAGCCACCGGCTAACATAAAGCTGTTACTCGAGATGTCATCATCACAAGGGTTAGTGATTGCAGAAGATTCCCAGTGAACCATTTTCACTTATGTAATTTTATTAGTAGGCTTGAGACTGATGCTCATTTATGATTTTGTTAAGAAAGATTTCATATGGTGACTTCAAATTATTTTATGATATATTAATTATTCCTTTTCGCTTTGAATAAATTTTGATTTCTCAAGGACAATTTGGTAAAAGTAGTGCTCGGCCGGGCTAGGGTGTTACACGTTGCTTCCATGTTGAGCTTTTTTTTTTTTTTATAGATCCATGTTGAGCTAATTGAGTATACGTTTGAAGAATATCGATAAACATGAGTTTAGGGTCAGGATGCACTGCGATAAGAATGTCGTGGTCCGTTTTTTTTTTTCTTTCTCTTCTTCTTCCTTGCGATAAGAATTTCAATATAATATTTTGAATGTGACCCAAAAATGAAAGAATATTTTCATGGTTTAGATGGTTGCCATTAATTTAATGGAATGAGGATTTGAAATTGTTCCGAATGTTTTGATATTTTTTTAAGTGCAACCGATTGTTAAGATACTTGGAAGATGAAACTAACAATGCCAAAAAAATCAACAGTCGTGGGAACCAGTGGAGGAGGACAACTTAGGATTTCACCAACATTGTGTCGAAATGATGTGTGAATTGGTGTCGAAGGCAAGGATTGGACATAGCAGATTTGGTATGTATCTTCTGTAGCGGTCATGAAAAATGGTGGAAGGGAATAACTTAGGATTCCGCCAACAGTGTTTCAATATGGATTGTGAATTTGTGTCGAAGGTGAGGACATGGATTTTCGGTATCGGCCGTGACAATTAGTGGGCAAATTAACAAACAATAGATGAAAACTCGATGGATAATAGTTGTCACAGAGAAACAACGAAAAATAACTAAAAACTTATTGGACAATTACGACAATGGAAAAACACGAGACAATAGAGACCCAACAGGTAATAACTTAGCACAAAGATTGTAGAATGACAGAGTGGGGTAAGAGAAGGTCTTTCAAAATTGAGGTGCTTAGGAGAAGGATATGTGAGTGAAGAAAACATACCACATAAAGAATTCTCACTTGCATTTGGAGGAGTTGGGGCACTAAATCAATAATAACTCACATATTTGTCTTTAATATATTAATTAATTATTAATGTTGTAACTTGTAAACGAATGAGTGCTAAGAGAGTCGAAACATGCATGTCTGCTTCTACATGAATCATGAGTCCTACAACATCCCTCGTTCCATACTGAATTGGCTGACTGCAATCGCCATGCACCACAACATACAGATAATACGGCCTGCAGAGTGCAGATGATTTGCATGAGCTTGGCATCCTTCCTGGGTACCCTCTATAATTAACGACAATAATTCATTATTTTTGTAGTTGTATTTGGCAATGTTTGAACTCATAATTCTTCTTCTTTTCATGTTGTTCCTACTTTTCCTTCTGTTTTCAGTTCTCTATTGCCATTTCAAGGCTCCATTTTTCCATTTGTTGGGTGTTCTCCCCCCTCCCCCTCTTTGGTGGGTCGATCTTTTGTTGTTGTCAAAAAAAAAAAAAAAAATCGATCTTTTGTTCCTCCGATCTGGTTTTTAGATATGGAGATGGTGGACTGATCTAAGATGCGATGGAGATCGGATCTGGTCAGAATCTGGCTCGTCTTATCATTTCCTCTCCCTCGTCTACCTCCTTGTCTTTCCTTGTCGATTTTGGTGAGTCGGAGATGCAGCTTGTGGCATCGAACGCGAAGATCCTGAAGATTGTGGAACCATCCCCTCTAGTTCTTTCATTGACGACCGGTCGGATGTTGTTGTCTTGCTGTCCTTTCGGCGAGAGGCAGAAGTCGGCTGGCTCGGGGTGGGTGTTGGAAGGTTCTCTTCTTATGGGTTTGGTGGAGATCAATCTCCTATGTTTGCCGCTTGGCGATAGGGGTGATGTTTGTGGGTGGCAAAACAGCGGTGGAGGCCTAGGGTTTGCAAATCTTAGTTTGTTTTGGCCCGAGTCCGGAACCTATTGGGTTTCGAGTTCCGACACACGTCTTTCGGCTTCTTTGTTTTGATTTTCAAGTCTGGTCACATTTTCTGCTTGTACTTTCCGCATGGGCCTGGCGAGGTTGCATTCTTAATGAACTTCTCCAAAGAAAAATGAATTCATACTTCTCTTTATATTTATTTTATATGAAATAAGTATTTCTTCATGCCCTATCTTGTTTATATTCACTGGGCCCCCAAAAATATTAAGCCCACTTATAGATCTTGTTGTGTTCGTGCTCATACTGATGAAGTTTAGACCCATATGTTTCATGAGGTGATCTTAGAAGAATTGTACAATGCTATATAGCATTGGTGTTATAAGTTTTTATCTTTATGGTACAACTTGAAATTGTACATTTAATGTTATGGTACAACTTCAGATTGTACCTAACTTTTTGTACAAATTCTTTTATGGTACAACTTAAACTTGTACATTATATGATGGTACAACTTCAAGTTGTAAAGTTGTACCATCACATAATGATACAAATTCCTTTATGGTACAACCTAAACTTGTACATTTAATGTTATGGTACAACTTCAAGTTGTACATTAAAGCACCAATACTATATAGCATAGTAGAAGTGCTCGGTGATCTTATTATACACTAACTATGTCACGCCGTGATAGTCCATAGCCGGCCCGACCAATGCTAGGTATTGTTTCCCCATATCATTTAACGCCCGCACTTAGAGGGCCGGCTGGAGGAAATATTCTCTAAAATTATGTATTCAGACAACAACATTCAACCTCCATCCAGTACTTAATATTTCACAATATTCCGATTCACGACTAATTGTACTTCTAGACACTCATTCTTCGATTAATAAAGTTTTAGTCCAACACAGATTGGCTATTTTGGCAAAAAAGAAATGCCGTAAACATTCGTCATGACCACCCCAAACCTAATCCTGTCGGTGACCAAGCCCTTTTATACATAAATAAACATATGATTATAATTTGATCCTGACGTGCTTCTGTTAATTGTTTGGCTAATAAAGTTTTCTAATCAAAACAGCTAATGAAGCAGATTCCTAACCGTCGCCGAACTAATGTTCAAATGTTAGTTTTCTCTCTCGTTAAGCGAGAGTTGGTAGAGCGGCGGAAACCCGTGGTTTTCCGGGAGTTTTCTTTGTCGGCGTCGACTGTCAGAGAGGACGACGGGTTTCGTGCTAGTAAAGGACTCTCCTCCTAAATAGGACGAAGTCTTAGCTGATTGCGTACAGTTCCATAACCTTAAACCCTAAGTTTCTTTTCACGAGTTCGTGGTGATTACGTTCCTTGGTTGACTAGTTAGACAAGCTTCTTACTAGCTATCAACCTTAGCCATGGCTGGCTTGAATCGCAAGTTTTATAAGTTTCTTTCCTGGCGAACGTGAGCTTCGATAACTATGGAGGTAGAAGAGCCAACAGGGGAGCCTGTTGAGCTCCAGAGTACTGCGGAGAGTCTGGAAGTGCAACTAAACAATATAACGCTGGATGAGGAAGACGAGACTCCTCTGGAGGTGGACGACGAGGATGTAGATGTCTTCCGCATGGAGGCTGTTCATCGGCTAGGCCTGATTGGATGCATAGTCGCTTAAAAACAACCAAATGTCAAATCACTGAAAATTGCTTTGGCTAAAGTATGGAATCTGAAGAAAAATTTCCGGGTAACTGAACTGGAGGATATGCTTTCTGCGTTTCAGTTTGTAGATGCGGATGATCCAGATAGGGTTTGCTTTGGAGGTCCTTGGAACTATGAAAACAATGCTATGGTGTTCATGGAAACTTTGTTGATTAAAAAACCAGTCCTTGAGGCAATACACATGCTAGATATGTGGATTCAGATAAAATAATTCCCGGCGGAGCTAAGAACAAAGACAATGGCTGAGAAGATTGCTAATAGGTTTGGATCCCTAATTTGGTTTGATGACAGTCCTAGATCAATGTGGGACTCCTATATGCGCTTAAGGGTGAGTCTATCTATTCTAAACCCCTTGAAGAAGAAAATTAAGCTGAATATTGGAGGGAAATTGGTGGAATATATGGTTAAGTATGAGAAATTATCCATCTTATGCTATTCCTGCGGTCATATAGGGCACCCAAAACTGCGCTGCCCTAAACCGTCTGGAGTAAATCCGGACCCTTGTGGAATGGAGCTAAGGGCTGGGGCGCCAGGACCAAGGAGTTGGATGTCGCACTCACTGAAAAAAGAGGATGCAGAAATATGGGCATCACTTCGAAAAAGGTTCGACTGGGAAAGTACAGGATCAAACTCTGATCATGAAATACCTCCTGCGGAGGAAATGGCAGAAAAAGACCATATGGTAGGTCAAAGGCATGGTGGAAAGGAGGAAGACAGGGGACAGAAGTTAAAAGCAAACGTGACTGAAGATATGACGAAAGAAGGTGAGAAGGAACAAGTGCATGATAATAGAAACAATGTGCCCTCCCCACATCCACCACTGATACACCTGGGGAGAGAGGGAGCACTTAATCAATTTGTAATGGGAGCAGATTTTACTGAAAAGAGGCGAAAGACAAAGACAAATGTCTGGCACAGGAAGGATCAATCCAATCAACGCGTACCTGTAGGTGGTTCACTCCAAGTGACACCACAAAAAAGGACTGCGTAGAATGTTGGGGATGGAGAAGATCAGGGCATTGGTATGGACCTGCAGCAGAAAAAAGCTAAGGTTCTGAGCTTCTCGATCCCAAATGAGAATCCAAAAAGAGATGGCACTAAAAACACAAAGGATGGCGATATGGCGGACTCTGCTGGAGAGCAGAGCCGCCCCCAGCTCAATGAGTCTTCTGAGCTACAACTGCCGAGGTCTCGGGATACCCATGCAGTTGAAAAAGTGAAGACATTACTACGTCAAACCAATCCCGACGTGGTTTTCTTGATGGAGATTAAGCAGTATGAGGATGAATGGAAAAAGAAAATTAAAGAATTTGGGTATTTTGATGGAAGAGGAGTGGCAACTCGAGATAATAGAGTAGGAGGGCTCTTGTTGATGTGGAAAGAAGAGGTCCATATTGAGGTAAAGGGGCGAGACCTCCACTTCATTGATGCTAAAATTAAAATGCCTAATAGCAATA